CTGCAACTGTTGAACACGCTGTCCAATTTGATCTGTTTGATTCATGGTCCTTCATGATACCTACCCCTTAAACTTTTTTCTTTTGCCGCCGTCAGCTGCGCCGCTCGTTTTCGCCACCGCCGACTTTCTGCAGACTTGAGAAACAGCCTTTGTTCAAACACCTTCAACTTTTCGGACCTTTCACCCTGCCGTTCCTTCGCCATTTTTGACCTGGGAACTGAGTTAACTGAAAACCAATGTCAGAGTGTGTGTCTGTGTTCGTTGAAACACCGGAGGTGTCGCGTTCGCATGGCAAGAAGAGGCGTTCGAAGGTCATATATAAGTCGTATGTCTTTGGCACCAAAGACACCAAGGCGAAGATCCTGCGTTTTTGCAGCAGTTGCAGAAGCTGCTTCCAGAGACTCAGCAAAATGGGATGTTTCTGAAGCAGTGCTATTAGAATGAATACAAGCTGTGTTTAATTTGAGATTGGATCGTGACTTGAGTGTCTGTGAGTATCAAAATAGTTGAAAGTCTATAGTCGAACAATTCTTGGGTGTGGTTTCTAGCTACTCGTGGACTACTGAAATAACATGAAACAACTGCTCAACATTTTGTTCGTGCCTAACACTTTGAGCAAGCAATTGCTTGCCTAACACTTTGAGAATCCCAGCTGCCACGGGGGTATGCAAGATATTGCATCGATCACTGATCACACCAGAGGGATGGCATCCATCGAAGTCGGATGGACCACACAATCATACACAATCAAGTAGCTGGGCCACCAGGCCGGCCACCAGGGCCGGCCGGCCACTTGTATTTCGTGGGAACTGGATGAAACCGGTCCGTGTTCCCGAATGACCAGTGAAATGAGGTGAACATGGAGAGTCAGTTTCCAAAACACAGCGCCATATCCCAGGGACACGGCAGTTTCCACGGCTATCAGTGATAGGCCACCATTTCAGATCGCATTCCACACCATTGTTCAATCTGTGTCTCTTCCCGTGCCTCACCGTCTTTTTCTTTGGAAAAGCGCCACGCGTGTGCGTTGCATCGGCCCTCTTGTGCGTTGCCACCCCGCGGCGGTGACGCGCGCGTAAGCGCTGCTCGCTCGGTGCACCGAGGATGTGTGGCTCATCAAGGTGGTTCATTTGCCTCCCTGCTCGGAGAAGATGGAGGAGGGCGACGAAAGAGGGCCAAGAGACGAAGTAGTGGGACGATGTACAAATGCACACACATCAATGTACCCTGGGGTAATGTTTGGAAATCATCGAGGTATGGGTGTGTTTCATCGTGTGTGGTTTGAAAGGGCGGTTGCTCGTTTTTTGCACGCATTCGAACAATCTGTTTTGCACGCGGATCGATTTACTCGTTTTTGCATGCGGGAGTATCTTATGAACGTACTTTGTCGTGTGTATGTCAGTTTGTAATAACTGCTATCGCAGACTGTTGTTTGTTGCAACGTTTGTTTAGGAACACGCTCAATGTGTGTTTTTCGCGCACGTCTTGGACATTTTAATTTTGAGCTCTGATCGACACCTGAGCCGATCCACCGACACAAGTCAACAACACCCGTGAGATCAGCAAAAAGTTCTGCAGACAATTATTCGAACAGGGTGTGTGTGTGTGTGTGTGTAAAGATGTTGACCTTGTCCAATCTGGCAACCCTTTCGGCACTTCAGAGTCACACTGTTTGGTTGGCAACTGCAACCCACTCCACCCTACCCCCCCCCCCCCGACCCAACCCGCTCATTAGTTTGCGTGTGCAGATGAGTTTGCATGGCAGAAGAGTGCTTCGAAAGGCAATCAAAAGTACGTAAGTCTTGGAGAGAAAACCTGATTTGGTTTCTCGAAAGGAGACAGACTTTGCGTGCTAGGGTGTTTGTTAGGAAGGAACTTAGGCTAAGGAGTTGGGCTTTGACCAATTCTGTACTAGAAGGGACCAAGGGTCAAAATACTATTTCCTGAACAACCGACAACTGCTTTCTGTGTGTTTTCTAGCTGCTTGTAACGGCAAGTCACTGCAGGAGAGCACTGCCTTGGTTCAGTTGAAGGAGCGACTGTCGCTTGACTCGGTCGAAAGGCCGCATGTTTGATGTAAATATGTTGTTTTCAGGTTGCATGGGCCGATGATGGTAGGTGAAGCTGGTTATTTTGGCTTGAATGAAGGTTCACCATGGTGAATCCTGTGCACAAACCATGTTGAAGGCCATGTCCTTGAGACAGCAAATCCTTTGCCACCCGAGACTAGACCTGTGAAGGATGCGGACCATCTGAAGATCCCTGCGATTGAAGAGTGCCCTGAAAAGACAGAATCAACGAGCACCGAGTACAGCTGTGACAGTCTCCAGTTCTTCTTCAGTACAGCTGTGATATCACACTGATGTTTCTTGCCCCGTACTGCAATAGATTGAAATAGTATTTGCAAATCATATGCATTGGTCTACTAGGGGTTCACACCGAGTCTGAAGGTCTGCGGATTGGCCCCGAATTGGCGTCGTAGGCCGTACCAGATCTCGTGGAACGGTTGGCGAGTATACTATACCTTGTGGATCCACATACCTTCTGAGAAGGTGATTGGAGACTATTTAAGTAGGCTTGGAGGCCCAAATACCTTCTGAGAAGGTACGTAGATCCACGGGGATAGTTACTAATGCCACAAAATCCAGTGTTCTCGGTCGGGCGCCCCGGTTCCTTGAGCCTGTATGGGGGATGGGGTTTTCAGGGATAGTTTCCTATTGCCAAACCAGCAGTTCCATGTCGGAATGGCTTTTAGTCCCATCCAGTGAGTGGATGTTCTGGTTACCCTCCAAGTTCGGCGCCCCTACCCTCTAATACTGCTGGAAGATGTTTGTTTCCTCATCCCTGAGCCCCAAGCAAGTACCTTCTGAGAAGGTGGGACTGGGGTGGGGGCCAGGAGGGTCCTTCTGAGGAGGTACTTGGAGGTAGGGAGTGATTTTCCCAGGTCCACTTTCGCTGACTGCACCGATGCCCTCTTGTTGGACACGGCGGTGAAAGGGAGCCATTCAGGCGGCACAGGGGCGGCCTTCGACTGGCAGGCGAGCTGAATCAACAGAGCATGATGAAATCCTATCGTTTGTGATATCCCTATCAACGGATTTGGGTTAATCCAATCCAACAATTTGTTTAAACCTGTTGGGGGGATATGTTGTTGGGATATTTTACCGCCGTTGGCGTGTGCCGCCGGCCTCCACGGCTGAATGCTGCCGCATGTGTGCAGAGGAGCAACGTGTCGTGAGCAAAAATACGAGAAGGGGAGCTGGACTGAAGGCAGGGGAAGACACAAAGCAAGGAAACGGCAAGGGCTGGCCGCTCTAAACCCATTCTAAGATTTCCAAAAGTCTAGATATAGGTGTGGAGGAAAGGGGTCGGTGGCGAAAGGGTCTGTCGAGGTCTGTATGATAGACAGTGCGCGGGCAGAAGGGGTGAGGTGGGAGAGCTGCGGCGAAAAAAACGCAAGGTCTTGTCCTATAGTATGCGGTGATTGGTAAAAACCGT